GCGCGTGCAGAACGGATTTGGCAGTCTGAACCTGCAGATCCGTTCTGCCACTAGGGAGGTGTCTTTTTTTTTTTAATTTCCTATATGTGCATGTGCACGCATGCGCATGTGCTCCTATGAGCGCACATGAATTTTGGAATCTCTTTGGCAGCGTGCTCCGTGGCTGAGGCGCTACAATAATTTGGATGCATTACCATGGGATGTCTCCGTGGGTAACTCGCAGCAGGGTGGGCTGTGTGGCTGATATGCCCCACAACACTTTAAACCAGTTCAATTAGAGACGGCACCATATCACGCCAAGCCGCCACTGTGGACATGGCCATTGTGTGGCTTTAGAATGTGCCTCAGGTAATCACCTTTCTAATGGAGAATAGGGATGTATCAGACAACAGTGTCCCTACTCTTTTTACATTTTTCTATATCCTACTATTGGGAGCTGCGGTGGCTCAAGTGGTTAAGACGCTAAACTGCAGGCTGTGAAAGGTCAGTAGTTCAGCAGTTCGAGACCCGAGTGTGCCGCATGACGGAGTGAGCTCCCGTCTCTAGTTCCAGCTCCTGCCAACCTAGCAGTTCAAAAGCAAGAAATTGCAAGTAGATAAATAGGTACCACTTCAGTGGGAAGGTAACAGCGTTCCATGCGCCTTGGTGTTTAGTCATGCCGGCCACATGACCACGGAAATGTCTTCGGACAGTGCTGGCTCTTCGGCTTTGAAACGGAGATGAGCACCGCAACCCTAGAGTCGGATTCGACTGGCTTTCGAGCAAGGGAACCATTACCTTTACCTTTATATCCTACTATTACTGTAGAGTGATCCAGTGTTTGGTTATATATTCCAATGGTTTTACAGCTTAAACAAGGTAAGATAAGGCTGTGTACTCAGTAAGTTAGATAAGTATAATCAGGGCCATTATTTTTTAGAGCCAAGGTTGTATATACTTTATGAAATTCCAGACATTTTTTTCCTGAGTAGGTTATCACCAACACGTGTGAAATTGCACGTTCATCTTAACAGTTCTTTTATTTTACAAAATGCAATCCCGCTTTTTTTTATAGAACATGCCCGGAGAGCATACAAGAATAAAAATCTGAAGAAAAATTAAAACAACATAAGTAATTCATAAACAGAAAGAAAGGGCAGTGCAAACAGCAACCAGCACAAAAAAGTATAAAACCCCTTTAAAACCAAAAGTCAACTTCAGTAAAGCCCCAGAACACAATAAATCAGTAAAACTGTTGAAAGCCTTTTGCATAAAAACAAGAACAAAAAGGCTTCTGGAAGGCTAAAACCAAAGGGCAAGGTAAGCTTCTTTGTGCAGGTGGGGCCAGTTCAAGGTATTTCATCACCCCATGCATGCACACTCCCCCTTTGCATGGCTTTCCTCTGAGGAGCCTAGCTCAGAGCCAGCTAGTTGGCCACAGTGGTCCGGGGGGGGGGGGAAACACTACACTACACTCATCGCCTCCCACCCACCACCTCTGGCCACACTGCCATGGCCAGATGGATGTTATCCAAGCCTCAGTGGTACATCACTGAAAGCCATTGCATGGATGGTTTGAGTGGAATCCACCTTGGAGGATGGGTCTTCATAGAGGAATCCACCTTTTGAAAATTCAGAGTGGTTCTGAAATAGGCAGGGTGGTGATGACATTGATTTGTTTATTGCATTTATACCCCACCTTCCTCCCCACTCGTGACCCGGCAGCTTACTTCGTTCTCCTCTTCTCCCGTTTATTCTCCTTGTGGGAGGTGAGGCGGAGAGTGTGCGACTGGCCCCACGGCCATTCGGCAGAAGGGGCGATGCAGGCCTGGGTCTCCCCCAGTCCTAAGGTGCTCTAACCACCACACACCATTCGAGTACACGAGCTCTAGAATGCATTGACCATTGTCTCTTTCAGACCAAAATAGGAGGGTGTATTATTGCAGTACCCTCTACGGTCGGTACTACCAAGCCTGTTTGGTGTAGTGGTTAAGTGTGTGGACTCTAATCTGGGAGAACCGGGTTTGATTCCCCACTCCTCCACTTGCAGCTGCTGGATGACCTTGGGCAAGAAATAGTTCTGACAAGAGCTGTCCTTGAAAGAGCAGTTCTCTCAGAGCTCTCTCAGCCCCACCTGCCTCACAGGGTGTCTGTTGTGGGGAGGGGGAGGGAAAGGAGTTTGTAAGCCACTCTGAGACATCGAGTGAAGGGCGGGGTATAAATCCAATCTCCTCCTCCGCTTCCTCCTCTTCTTCCTCTTCTTCTTCTATATGCACCTGATGAGGACACAAGTTGATATCATATGAGGCCTCTCTTGTACACCTTAGCCTTGAGCCATTGATCATCATCGTAATATCATTTTCACTTGGTCCTGTATTGATTAATACTTTGTTTTATTATTGCAACATTGTATTATTTATATTTGACCACTGAAGAAGGCCAGTTGGCCAAATGGTGTTGGGTCACGTAAGGTCCTGTTTGTGAATGCTGTATTATTTTAATTCTTATCGAGGCTACATTTGGGCCTATTTAATTTAAATCATTTGCAATAAAACATGTATTTTTAATAACCTGTATTACCTATATGTTCTCCTGCCAACCTAGCAGTTCGAAAGCAAGAAATTGCAAGTAGATAAATAGGTACCACTTCAGTGGGAAGGTAGCAGCGTTCCGTGTGCCTTGGTGTTTAGTCATGCTGGCCACATGACCACGGAAATGTCTTCGGACAGCGCTGGCTCTTCAGCTTTGAAACGGAGATGAGCACCGCAGCCCTAGAGTTGGATTCGACTGGCTTTTGAGCAAAGGAACCTTTACCTTTACCTATATGTTAATGTTCTATATCTATTGATTTTAAGATCTGGCCCTCCTATTTGTATGCATTTAACTTTTTAGGTTCTTAACTCTGACCACCACACCATGCTGGCTCATTCCAATAATTGGAATTTGGATATTGTAAGACTATCAGTTTTGGAGCACCTCTAATTTGATACACTCACGTCTCTAAAGGCAGGAGAATGAATGCTCATGCTTCCTGGAGTATGACACCAGAAACTATACTAACAGCAATTCAGAAGCTAACATTTCTAGTATATCTGTGTGTCACAATCGATGTGATGATAACCTTGGAATTGCTCAACTGGAATTAGGTTCCCAGTATTGTAACCACAAGTCATAGTTGCAGAGTGGATAAATTAGTTCAACTTGGAGAGGTCAGTGTGACTTAACTTAGAGAATACAATCATTGTTTTCCATGTTTGTCTCAGTATTCCTGCAACAACAAAAGGATTTTAATTGTATGCCTGCTATCGTTTTTTATTCAAGGAAGTCTACAGAGCACATAGGCTTTTAGACAAAATAATATAACAATAATTGAAATACCAAGGAAATATTTCTCCAAGGAATAAAAGAGGTCTGTTACTTAGGCACTGGGCCAATGTTCTTTTAGGCTGCAATCACAGAAACTAAATAATTCATTTTCAATGCACTTTCCAACTGGATTTTACTGTGTGAACTGGCAAAATCCAATTTGAAAGTGCATTGAAAGTGGATTATTTAGTGTGTGATCACAGCCTTTTGCATGTTTAAATCCAGACCTGCTGTTATCTTGTAGAAGGAAGGAGGGAGTAGGGTATGACTTAACTAAAGGGATGTGGAAGGGGGTCAGCAGGTGACCATCCTGAAGCACACCTCCTTCCAGCTGTTCTTCCCAATAGTTTTTCTTCAGCCAAGCTCACTTTCCTTATCTAAGCCCAAGCTGAAGAGAGGGAAAAGAAGAACTAGGTTCAGGAGTCTCAAAGCAGCTTATAATTGACTTTCCCTTCCTCTCCCCACAACAAGCACCTTGTGAGGTAGGTGGGGCTGAGAGAATTCTGAGCGAACTGTGACTGGGCCAAGTTTACCCAGCAGGCTTTGTGTAGAGGAATGGGGAATCAATCCTGGTTCTCCAAATTAGTCTGCTATTCTTAACCACTACATGTGACTGCAGCCTGAGTTTAAACCTGTGGTTCTGTTGCCATAGTATCTAGTTTGGGCCTGATGGCATGTTCTGACACTTATTGGGAGGTGAGTGTCTTTCATGAGCAAGCTACAGTCTGACACGTTGCAGTCTCATGACAAAAAATGTTCCTCAGAGGAGTAAGTTATCTGGCTTCTTGTTGAGATTAGTGGTAAGCATTATTGGTTCTAGACTAAGATAGGTAGCCATTTTAGTCTGTCTGTAGCAGGAGAAAAGAGTAAGAGTCCAGTAGCACCTTAAAGTCTCGGACTGCAAGATCAAATCAGTCAATCCTAAAGGAAATCAACCCTGACTGTTCCCTGGAAGGCCAGATAATGAAGCTGAAGCTCAAATACTTTGGCCACCAAATGAGAAGGGAGCACTCCCTGGAGAAGACCCTGATGCTGGGAATGACTGAAGGTCAAAGAAGACGGGGACGGCAAAGGATGAGATGGTTAGACAGTGTCATAGATGCAACGAACATAAAGTTGAGCAAACTTCAGAGGACGGCGGAAGACCGGAAGGCCTGGCGGGATCTGGTCCATGGGGTCGCGAAGAGTCTGACTCGACTGTGCGACTGAACAACAACAACAAGCACCTTAAAGATTAACAAAATTTGTGGCCAGGGTATGAGCTTTCGTGAGTCACTGCTCACTTCTCCAGATACTTCTGAAGAAGTGAACAGTGACTCACGAAAGCTCTTACCGTACCACAAATTTTGTTAGTATTTAAGGTGCTACTGGTTCAAGACTTCTAAGTGGTATGTTCTGGAAGTATATCCTTAATATTATGAGCGTGTCCTAGAACGTTTTCCTGTGGCAAGGTATCAAGAATTGTAGGTTGTGTATAGCAGTGCTCATTGTGGCTTTGTAATAACAATACCTTCATATGATGACGCTATCCTTGAGTGAGGTGTGTATTTATTGTTTAAAATAATATTGTGTGAGGGACTGGAATGGTTTCTAAAAGATCGATGGATTCTTTTTTAAAAGACACTGTAGCTCTGCCTTCTAAAATTCTGTCCCAGGTATTAGGCGAGCGGAAGAACTTTCCCTGCTGAGGCAATCGGAAGACACAAAAAAGAAAAAGAAGAAAGACAAGAACAAAGAACCAGTCATAGAAGACGTTTTAAATTTGCCTCACTCCCCGGGGAGTTTAGGATTGCCAGGTAAGAGCCTGAAACATATCACTGAGTTGATTTTAATTCTTTAATTTAAAAAAGAGCAAGAAAAATAAAACTGTTATTTGCTGTTTGCAGCTGTTTAAAAAGCTATAGGCTCTCAACAATAGCAGAGCCACTTAAGTTGGAAGCAGGTTCTTTAGGCTTGAAGAAGCCTTCAGCTTTGTTCAGTGGAGAAGTAGGATAAGGGAACAATCTCAAACCCCCACCCCCACCACGTGTGTGGCCAAGGACAATCCTCATCTCTCCTCACACCCCGCCTTCTTCTTGTTTGTTGGCATACCAACAACTTCACAAGTACACATTGTCAAGTTTTTGACATTTGGGAACGGAGGGCTAGCAGCCCGAATCGGAATCGTGGTTAAAGTCAAGAAGGCGAAGCAGAGTAGGAAGTCAAGCAACGTCAGTATGGACTTTACAGAAAATCAGGACCAAAAAGTTGGTCTCTAGGGGCAGCCAGTGATTAGCTTGGGGACCCATCGCAGGGGCGAGGATGGTGTGCTGTTAGATGCTGGTGGTCAGGCCGCCATCAAAACTCCAAACAACTTTCTGAGTTTAGAGATAGATGCTTTGGTCCCCAGAAGGCTGTAAGTGGAAGCTGGAGATAATGCAGAGAGAACCTCAGCAGCAACAATGAGCGACTTAACGCATGGGCAGATGTCTTAGAGTAGACTTTGCCAGTGACCACTAGTCAGGTGTGAGCATGAAAATGAAGTCACAGTATAATTGACAGTGAGCTAATCACTAAGTGTGCTTCTTCTGGATAGCAGCTTCTCTTAAGGCACTGGATGATGTGAGCTCAGCCATTGTTGCCAGATGCACAGGGTGTGAGAAAATCTCTAAACCAGGCATCCTTTCGCAGAGCCTTGTTTGTAAGATGTGAAAAAAACTTGGGCCCACCCGGGCTGGTTCCTTTGCCAAAGTAGGATCTTGCACGACAGAGGAATCTTATGACGATTTACTTTTCATATCAGTTAATCTGCGGTTTATATTTGTAAAGGGCTGTGCATCCATTTGCCTCGCTCGTCTTCACAGGAGCTCTGTGAGGTAGGAAACCCATATCCCCATTTTACAGATGGGGAACTGAGTCTGACTTACTCGAAGTTACTTAAGTGTTGTTGGGATCTGAACCAGGTCTCCCGAGTCCAATGCACTATCGACTCCACCCTGCTATCTTACACTCTGTCACGGTTTTACCCAGCCCTTCCTCCAAGGAACTCAGGGTGGCGTGTACGGTGGCTCATTTCTATCCCCACAACAACCTTGTGGTGTAGCTTAGACTGAGTGAGTGACCGCGCAGTGAGCTTCAGTGGCAGAAGAACGATTTGAACCTGGGTCTCCCAAATCCTCACTGACCCTCTGAGTGCCGTACCACGCTGTCTCTCAAAAGAGCCATAAAGATTCCACTCCGCCGATCTGCTCACATATGTTTTACTGCTTGTTTGGGGCAAAGCAGTGCTGTTGGACAAGCTCAGCTCTGCTCCTGCTGTTCCTTCATCTGTTATCGCATCTCTTCTATAGCTTCCCTAAAGGCTTTCATCTATTCAAAGTAGGTCATGTCAGTTTTGGGAGGGAAGGCGGCATTGGCATCGCCCTGTCTTATCAGATTTTGGAAGCTCAGCAGGGTTCCTACTTGGATGGGAGACCACCAAGGAAGGCTCTGAAGAGGAAGGCAGTGACGAAACACCTCTGCTTAATCACTTGTCTTGAGAGTCCCCTGCTGGGGTTGCCGTGTTGGTTGCAACTTGACGGCACTTTAAACGCACGCATCAGCTGTACTACTAGATGAACTGAGGGTATTTTTGTCGTCTCTCCTGAAATGCAGGCTTCAGCTGTTTCTTCAGAGCTTCGTGCGCTAATGCATCGAATGTGAGAAAACAGCAGAAGCTACAAAATTCTCTGCATAACCACTGCGTCCATACACCCCACATGCATAAATGTGCCACAAAGGCCTCTATTATGCATTTGCTTAACAACAGACACACACACCCCCCCGAAAACCCCTTTGCAATCCCAATGCCTTCCTCCATATGTTCCAGCAAGGGAAATAGTTTTGGTGTCTGGCGCCGAAAGAGTCTGTCTCTACCCTCAGACTTCTGTTCACCGTCCTTACCAATTCGTTTCTTAATGTATGGCTTTATTGTTGGTCCTGGAGCTGCTTTGTGAAATTCCGTGAGCCGCGCACTCGTCCCGCAGCACATAACAAGCTTCCTCTTCCTGTAATAACGACAGTCGTTTTAATTTGCAGGCAGACGGTTTTTTTCCTTTTTTTCTTAATAAAACAATGGTGAGATCTGGGCACAGATGCGTCCTTTCTCTCTTTATAGCTTGCTAAATTTGCCCTGACCTGGATAGCCCAGGATAGCCCAATCTTGTCAGACCTCAGAGGCTGAGCAAGGTCAGCCCTGGCTAGTATTTGTTAGTAAAAGCCCTAATTCCCAGACTGACACGGCCCAAATGTTGTATGAAAAAGAATCACGTGACTTGGTGTTTGTGTAGATGAGCCGTCTCCTATGTGTACCGCACACATTCCCCCTGCCTTCCATTTATACATGTCCCTCCCCTATTTTATCTTCACGACAGCCCTGTGTAGCAGGTGGTTCTGAGATGCTGAGAGAGAGTGACTATGCCGAAGAGAGAGTGACTAGGCCAAAATCACACACACACACACACACACCCTCCTCCCACTTTAAGAGAATGCAGGATTTTTAGCCAGGGCTTGCTCAGCTTCCTGGATAAGGGGTCCATGGACGTTTTCCCCTGTAGTCCCACCCTTCAGCCCCTGGAAATGCGTGTGTATTTGCATGTGAGGGGGCCCACATAAAGCCTTTTTGTCCAGGCCCCCTCGGAACCTGAGGTTGTGCCTGTTTTACTGCTAAGACCTGAGGTAAACTGAACTTTAACATGGCCGTGGTGTGCTTAGGTGACTGTATGGATTCATATAAGCTCTATGTGATCTTGTAACTATGACGTTCTGCCTCTTCATAGGAAATGTTCTTACTGTTTTGACTTTGGGTGCTATCCCAGACTGAGCGGTTTGTTTCATGTCTAATATTCCAGCAAGTCCCGGCTTATACAGCAAAACCATGAGTCCCATTTACAGTCCTACCAGCGGTACGCCTGACTCTTCGACCCTCGCATGGTTCGGGGACAGCCCGCTAGCCAAACAGAACTGGAACAACCTTGCTTCCAACCACCCCGTCTGTACACCAGAAACGCTTGCGGAAATGTACCAGCCCCGAACTTTAGTTGACAAAGCAAAACTCAGCGCTGGGTAAGGGATGCCTCTGTTAAACATCTGGATTAGCCGGTTCTGATGAGGGAGAAAGTTTGTACAAGGCATTTTCACATAAGGTATCTTTAGACGTGTATAATTTATGTCAGAGAGTTTGAGCCCCAGAAAATAGATTAGTGATTTCTTTAGATATTTATGCCCTGCTTTTCTTCCCAGCAGGGACCCAAAATGGCTTTCTCAATATCCTTCTCTCTCGTTCCATTTTATCCCCACAACAACAAACCCTTCTGGTAGGTTAGGCAGAGAGAGAGAGAAAGAGTTAGTGTGTTAGTTAGTGTGTTAGTTAATGTGTTAGTTAGTGTGTTAGTTAGTGTGTTAGTTAGTTAGTTAGTTGCTGGCCCAGAGTCACCTGATGTTTTCTGCTCCCAATCCTGGAATGATGGTCTACTTAGAGCTACTTTCCACATTAAGAAAGACAATTTTGCTTCCAGAAAATGGCTGCTTTTATTAATATAGTGCTGTCGGTGTATAAGTCCCTGTAGTTTGGTATTTAAGCAAAGGGGCAGGGGGTAATCCTTGCCTGAAGGATTTTAAATCAAGATTTCCTCAGTAAAGGGAGAAAGTAGAAGGTAGAAACAGACGGACCCTGACCTGGGTCTCCCAGGCTAGCCCGATCTCATCAGAGCTTAGACGCTGAGCCCATCTTTGGGACTTTGGTGTAGGAAAATATGGGAACAAATGGTTATGGCAAAAATA